AAAGCAAGAGAGAAAGCCAAAAACAATGATTCTACATGTTTTGCTCTTAGGTATTAGCTTGAGTTCCTATCCTAAACTCCCATAAGGAGGGATTGTAAAATAGGAGTAGCAACCAAATAAACCTGTTAATTACCTGAGTTGCTTTTGGTTAGATAATTTAATAACAGCAACAGAGAAGAAAGTTGGAACAAACATGGGACTCAAAGGAGATTTTGTTGCTGCTAGGTTCCTGGGAATGTTAATTCCTGGAAGAATGCTGAAGATATCAGAACTTTAGATGGCAAAAGCCATAGAGAGCTGGACAAAGAGCTTAATCAGCTCTTCTCGTAGGACAAAGCAGAAGGGAATGTTGAATGATGGACAGTGGAGGTCAATGTCATAGGATTTTAGTGGGCAATAGGCTCTCTAGGGAACCATGGTTTTGACCTGACCTACCTGCCTTGAGAGACCAGTGTCATGGGTGTTTCAGGTTAAATCTGGGGTTTCTGAGACACAATGTGCCTCCAAGGTCCTGACAGACTGTTGCATTCCTTCAGGCAGTGAAATATTCAGGCTGATTTGTGCTTCTTTGTATGATCCCTTAGTAACCAAAAAGTCAGGAAAGCATTTTTTAAAATATTTATTTATTTACTTATTATGTATACAGTGTTCTATGTGCATGTATGCCTGCAGGCCAGAAGAGGGCACCAGACATCATTGTAGATGGTTGTGAGCCACTATGTGGTTGCAGGGAATTGAACTCAGGACCTTTGGAAGAGCAGGCAATTCTCTTAACTGCTGAGCCATCTCTCCAGCCCCCGAATCATGAAAGTTTAAAAGGACAATTGGACTTTGACATTAATCTTGTATATGTGGTAGAGGATGCAAACTTTATTGTATCCTGGAAACTACAACTCTATGGATCATAGAAATTTCCATTTTCTTCTGTTTCTGATAAAGAAATAAAGAGTCAGCAAGGAATTCAAGACCATGATGTGTTCATCCACCTAGACAGTGTGTCTGAGCTAATGGGAGCTCACCAATTCCAAGTGGACTGGGAGTGAATGAGTATGGAAACAAACAAGTCCCTCTAGATGACAGTTGGGGCTGACTGAGGGGCCACTGATAGTAACACTGGGATTTGTCTAGTCTACTGCATGTGCTGGCTTCTTGGGATCCTATTCTTCTTGGATGTATACCTTGCTCAACATGTAGGGAGGGCCTTGGACTTTCCACAGGACGGGGTGCATTGCTGTCTTTAGGATTGGAGGGGGTGGTGTTCGAGGGTCTGTGGTTGGATTGGGAGGGTAATGGGAGGAGGGGAGAGAGTGGGAATTTGGATCGGTTTTTTTTTTTTAAGCAATAATAAAAAAAGGGTCAAGAAAAGAAAAGGAATAAAGAGTCTGCTCTCAAGACAGTCATAGCCTTTCCAGCCCATGTCTGGCTTTCTTCCTTGTGGCCCCATAAGATGTTTGTAGCTTGGTAAGTAAGCACAGGTGCTTAGAAGACTTCATGAAAATTTTGTCTAGAGATCATTTGTGTGATATTTTTGCCCCAATATTTGTTATTCTCTCAATGTCCAAAGAAAGTGAGCAAGGCAGAATTAAAAAGGAATAGACTGATTTCTTATACAAAATATTGCTTCTATTCGATGGTTATTACTGATGGCTCATTCAGGTCTAGAGTAAAAAAGAAACAAGTAGAAAGAAATAAAAAATGCAGCTGCAAGTTTCTCTCCTGTTTGCCAGCTACCAAATAACCACTCAGAGGCTTATATTAATTGCAGATATTTGGGCAATGGCTCAAACTATTATTGGCTAGCTATTACATTTAAATTAATCCACTTTTATATATGCTTTGCCACATGGTTCGTGGCTTGTTATCTCACATCTTGTTTCTCCTCTGCCTCTTGGAGTCTTGACTTAATCTTTTTTCTCTCTGTATCCACTTAGATTTACCAGCTAGCTATATTCTGTCCTGTCACCAGCCAAACAGTTTTATTCATCAACCAATAAAAGCAACACATATTCACAGCATGCAGAAGGAAATCCCACATCAGAAAAGTGTTTTGTTAAGAAAAACACTAGGTAGTTTCAGATGGCAGTCCAGTGGTGAAAAAGGTGCAGACATTGTCAGGAATTTCAGTACCATCAAAGCTTAGAGCCTGACTGTATATTTGAAGCCTAGGAACATGCTCCAGGTGTAAGACTGCTTCTAGTTAAGCCCTTAATTTATGGAAGGAGTATGTAAAGTAATTTCTTGTTCCAGGAACAACATCATACAGAACTTGCAGCAAATTTGGCCCAAACTTGGTGTGGTCCATCAAATCTTGGCAGGATCACCTTTGTCATACTGATACAGAAAACAAGAAAGTTGTAAAATGTAAAGGTCATGGGTTCTTCTTCTGTACCCATCTATGTTTGGCAGAGTCAGAGCTCCAGTGAAGAAGAGATTGTAAGTGTTCATTACACGAAATGGTGAAGACGAAGCTGGGTTGCATTTCAGACCACGTGATGTTGAGATACCCAAGCTATGAGGCATCTACCATGGAGAACTGCATAGGGGCATGGAAGTTGCAAGAGTGAAACACATGAGAGGTTGCAGGGTGCTGTGTGATATTTTGATCATAGTTTGATAATGAAGAATGTTTGGAGTCGGAGAGCAGAGCTTACCTATTTACTGACCAAAAATGGCATAGGGGTTTGGAGGGCTATCGTTAGATAGGAGACAAGAAGAAGTATAATTGGGATGAGAGAAGATCATGGGGGTTTTTTGGATGTCGGAATGGAAAAGGTAAGAGTCCCTGGTGGCTTCTCCACTGCTTCTCTGATAACGCTGATATCTGATTTCCAATTTATAATGATAAAGATTAATTAGTTAACACTTCATCTGCCTCTCTGGAAGACATGCTTAATAAAGAGAAAGTGGAAATTAAGACTTCCAGATATAGATTACACAGTAGTTTATTATCTTTAAAAGTTTTTAATGCTAATGAAAAGGAAATGGCAGCTGTGGATAAACCATGGAGCCGCCAGAGGGGAAAGACTCCAGCTCCCAGTTGGTACCTTGCTGGTTGACCAGGAAGCATGTTCACTATCTCTGGGAGCCATTCGCTCTGCACCAAATTCAGGGTTGCAGTGGGACTGTGTCACCTTTAAGCAATGTGTAACACTTGTTCACAGACCCCATTTTAGTGCTTGGCTTCCTGAAAGAGCCAGAGTTTGTGCTGCCAGCATGAACCAGGAAGCCACCATTTTGAAGCCACATGTATTTCTGCTACCACTGAATCAGGAAGACCTCTCTTAAAGGACCCATGGCACCCTGTTTGCCACCAGCAAATAGAGCCCATCCAAAAAATAAAATAAATACCAGCTACCAAGAAGTGGTGCTTAACTCTGTTGTTGGATTTTTTTCTGCCTAGAATTACTTTCCAAGCTCTCTCAGGCTTTCTGAATGTAGTCAGTCACATTGGTGCCAGTTTCTAGGTGGAGGTGTTCATTCATGCTCAGATGCCCAGAGCCAAAGTAATCATACAGAAACTACAGTATTTGCAGTGCTATTTAGCCAATAGCTTAAGAGTACTTCTAGCTAGATCTTATTTCCTAAACTAACCTGTCTTCATTAATCTGTATATCACCATGAGGTCGTGGCCTGCTGGCAAGTTTCCGGCTGTCTCTGGTGGGGGCATCTGTCTCCTGTGGCATCAACATGGCTTCTCCCTGACTTTGCCTACTCTCTCTCTCCATCTCTGTTCTGATTTCCCTTCTGACTTTACTGTGGTAAGCCATTGGCCAAAACTAGTTTCATTAATTAACCAATAAAAGCAACACATATACAGAAGGACTTTCCACACCGTACATGGATATGCACCGTGTATGTACCTAGTCCTTACAGTGATCAAAATATGGTACAAGAAACCTCGAATTTGGAATGATGGAAAGTTGTGATCTGCCATGTAAGTCCTTGAGCCCTCCTGTATGCAAGGCCAGGAGGGCTCTTTACTGTTGAACCATATTTCCTGCACAGTGTTGATTATTTGTGAACATCATAAATATTGCTAATGTTTTTATTTGGTTATTTGTAAGTTTTCGAGTACACGGTGCCTTTTTTTTTCATTTTTTTTATTTTATTGAGAATAAGAAAAAAAAAAGTTTCCGCCTCCTCCCAGCCTCCCATTCCCCTCCCCCTCCCCCACTCTTCTCTCCCTCCCCCNTAGGAAAGTGAACATCCAAACTGGCTAGGCTCCCACCAAGCCAGAACATGAAGTAGGATCAAAACCCCTTGCCATTGACCTTGGCTTCTCATCAGTCCTCATTGTTCACCATGATCAGAGAGTCCGGTTTTATCCCATGCTGTTCCCGTCACAGACCCACCCACTACACGGTGCCTTTTAGTAAGATCTTATTGATCTTACAATTTAAATTGAGGCACTTTAAGTTTCTGGGATATGAATATAGATTTGGAGTGAATGCATAGCTCTTTGTAGTAAATTCAGAAAAAACTCTGAGTTCTTTCTATCTTTTATGTTTGTTGGATTGATTTTTCATGGTAAACAGGGAGTTAATATGTATTTCTGACCGTCCTAGAAGTGATTTCATAGATTATGCTGGCATTCAACTGAGAGGCAGATATACTTGCCTCCAACTTCTGAGAGGTAGGAGGATTAAAGGCATGACCCAAGGCATCCAGCTTGACTGTCTTATTTTTTTCTTTTGTAGTTAGGAATTAATCATCTATAGAACATCTCTCACATGTATCATGTATTGTTCATTTGTTCACGTGTCTTTCATTGTTTTCTAGTAGGCATTTCTTGTGCAAGGTGATCTCACTTTCAAAGGGTTCGGAAATGACAGGGGAAACTCCTATTTAGTTTGCTTCTCAAGTGACTTGGTGATTAAACTATGATATCAGTGCCATGGAGTGAGTACAGAGAACACCACATTTCTATGACCATACTGTCAAAGAAGTATACATTTATAGTGTCGTCAATATCATGCTTTTTGTTTGTTGGGATATTTTAGAATACAGTGACATATGATGATGTGCATGTTGACTTCACTTGGGAAGAATGGAGTTTGTTGGATACTTCCCAGAAGAATCTCTACAAAGATGTGATGCTGGAGACCTACGGAAACCTTACTACTATAGGTAAGACAGAATTTTCTTTCATGTATCAAAATAAGGGTTAAGTACAAGAGCTAGTTCCAGGACAGCCAGGACTGTTACACAGAGAAACCCTGTATCAAATAAAAAAGTACTCAAAATCAGGAAAGAACTGTTCATTGGCGACTGATGCTCTTTTGTAATATGACTGAGAAAGAAGAAGAAGAAGTCAGGCATGGTTGTAAGGTTCACTGAAGATAGTAACTAAAATTTTTTTTAAAAATTTCACTACATAACATACATTTTCTGGCATTATATTTTAGGATATAATTGGGAAGACCATAATATTAAAGAACATTGGCAAAGTACTAGAAGACATAAAAGGTAATTTTCAATGTATAAGTTGAGAGGAATGTACCTTTGAAGAATTTGCAGTTTCCTAAATGTTTTAAAAAGAAGCAACGATGTAAATAATAAAGTGTACCAATGTTTATTAAATTCTCACAGAATCATATACCTCAATTTTAGGTAACCAAACTGCATTTGCAGGCCATTTTTTTTTAAAGAAAGAAGTTAAGGAAACAATGCCTTAACCTATATCACCATTTGAATCATAATACAACAAGAGCTATGTTGTAGAATTGTCAATCCATTTATTTAATACTATTCATGTAATAAAAGGTATACATTTTGAAAAGTGATAAATTTATCTCTCAAACTATCTACTATACTAATAGTCCATAGAAAAGCTAATGTAACCCCTGTACTTGTGACTATGCTAACTTTAGAGAGGGGGCAGTCAGAGTAAAGCATCAAGGGACAGTTGGTATACAGAAATATGCAGAAACATAAATCTGGATACCACAAGTCTATGAAGACATAAAGTTATACTGGGAAAAATGTGGTAACTATTATTCCTTTAGTAGGTACATCATATGCTACTCTATATACAAGCCATGTGAGCATAAGGTAGAGTAGCTATACCTCTCTCTCACAACAATTAGATGTGTAGCGGTCCTCATGGTACATATACTTGTTGAATTTGATGAACAAGTGTACAAGTAATAGGGCTAGGAATGCTATAAACACTAGTGGTATTAGGACTGTGTAAAAACTTGTGTTTGACATAGTTTACTTAGGAAATATAGTATCACTCACAGTCTAGAAAACTATGTGTGCGATAAGGGTGGTAAATTTTTGAGTTTTTTTTTTCATTTCTTTTCAAATATGTGAAAATTCTCGTAAAGAAAAAAGATTCTGTAAATGTGAACTATGTAATAATGGATGTTATTATCATTCATCTTCATAGATGCAAAACAAGTCTTTTTTTTTTTTTTTGGTTTTTTCGAGACAGGGTTTCTCTGTGGCTCTGGAGCCTGTCCTGGAACTAGCTCTGTAGACCAGGCTGGTCTCAAACTCATAGAGATCCGCCCTGCCTCTGCCTCCCAAGTGCTGGGATTAAAGGCGTGCGCCACCATTGCCCAGCAAAACAAGTCTTAATGTAGGGGATCAACATGAGTTTAAACACAATGATAAAACCTTAAGATAGAATTCCTTTTTAAAATTGAACCAATTATTTAAATTAATTCATACAAATGAAAATATTCAACAATGTATTGAATGTGGTTATTCTTTGACATGTGCCATTATCATTGCAGGAATGAAAGAAGTCAATTTAGGGGGAAAACTTCCTTATATATTCAATGTGTTAAAGACATTGCACGTGACAGTCGTCTTCAGAGGCATGAAAAACCACAAAATAGATTGAAACCCTATGAATGCAATGAGTCTAGTAAAGCCTTTGCATATCCCAGTACTCTTCAAGTGCATAAAAAAACTCATACTGGAGAGAAACCCTTTGAATGTAATCAGTGTGGTAAAGCCTTTGCAAGTCACAGTACACTTCAAAAGCATATAAAAACATACAGTGGAGAGAAACCCTATGAATGTAATCAGTGTGGCAAAGCCTTTGCATATCGTGATCGTCTTCACAGGCATGAAAGAAGCCATACTGGAGAGAAACCCTTTGAATGTAATCAGTGTGGTAAAGCCTTTGCATTTCGTAGCAATCTTCGAGGGCATGAAAGAAGTCATACTGGAGAGAAACCATTTGTATGTAGTCAGTGTGGTAAAGCCTTTGCATATTGCTCTCATCTTAGGAAGCATGAAAGAATCCATACTAGAGCTAAAACCTATGAAAGTAATCAGTGTGGTAAAACTTTTGTACAAAACAGTCATCTTCAAATGCATGAAAGAACCCATACTGGAAAGAAACGCTATGAATGTAATCAGTGCAGTAAAGCCTTTGCAGAACGCAGCACTCTTCGCAGGCATGAAAGAAGTCATACTGGAGAGAAACCCTTTGAATGTAATCAGTGTGATAAGGCCTTTGTAGACCATCCATCTCTTCAACTGCATGTAAGAAGAACACATACTGGAGAGAAACCCTATGAATGTAATCAGTGTGGTAAAGCCTTTGCACAAAACAGTCATCTTCAAAGGCATAAAAGAACCCATACTGGAGAGAAACCCTATGATTGTAATCAGTGTGGTAAGGCCTATACATGTCGCAGGAATCTTCAAAAGCATGAAAGAACCCATATAGAAGAGAAACCCTATTAACGTAATCCATAGGGTAAAGCCTTGTGTGTCACAGTAATCTTCACATACATGGAAGAAGCCATACTTATACATTGTTTACATTTTGAAGTCACTATCCTCATTTGTTGCACATTTGTTTACTGATTCTTTAATATTTGGAAAGAATTTTTAGTCTTTAAGTTAAACAGGTTTTAAACATTATTGCTCAATAGTTGTTCATGTTTATTGTGTTTACATTCAGATCAATTAGGTCCTTTAGACACGTATTGTATTTTGTCTAGATAGGCAATTTTCAACCACTTCAAGGATCTGTAGAACATGGTGTTTAAATTACTTAGGGTTCTGTTGACACAAGGCATGGTTGCTCCTGACAGCATCAATCTACTCCCAAGAGAATGTTGAACACCAAAGACACTCCACTTATAGCTTGTTTTCTTCTTGGCACAATTGACATTTGGGCAAGAAACTGCCCATACCTCAACCACTGACAACATACATGGTTTCCAGATAAGGATAAGCAGGACACAAGGAAAAGACTGTCAAATCTTGCCTAGACAGGGTAAGATGGTTCTGAAAATTTTTCTACCTCTGAAAATGGATTGTCAATTACACCAGGCCTTAGCCAAAGTTGGTTGCTTGAGTGTTACAAAATGAGACTTTGGGTGATGACTCAGATAGCTAATTGTCTCTGCCATATACTGCTCAATTTGGAAGCTGATTTACTGTACTTTCTTCCTGCTCAAATAATATTATCTCCCTTATCAGGCCTTCAATGGGGTTGAAGATTTTATAGTCATATTTACTGTACTCTTAGGATCTAGCCAAGCCATTTCTTATAAAAGACTTAGACTCCTAGGATAGAATGTTTATTAAAACATTTTGCATACATTCCTTGCTTAATATTGTTTATGCTGCTTGTAATTCTAATTATAATTGATATCTGTTCCTGTTGTATATAGTTTTGTATTGGGTTTGAAACTCTTATATAAACAAAAGCAGGAGGTGCTTTTGGAGCCACATTCCACCCCTTCAGCCAATAGCATTTAAGATATCAGCCCAATTGAGTGTGGTCTCTAATAATGTAAAAAGCAGCTGTAAAATGTATGCTCTCTATCTTGCTTCTAGCTCCTGCTGTCACACAGGTGAAAGCATCCTGCAACATTAACATTTAAAGAAAGAATTTGGTAAGGAATAATGGTGAAGCAAGCAAAAATAGAGAAATTCCTTCTTCAATATCCTTAAAATAAGTCAGTTGCTTCAGGAGGTGCAATTCAGATTAAAATGTACTTTGTTCTTTGTTTGATTTGGGGGTTGGGGTTGGTGTTATTGAGAAAGGGTTTATCTGGGTGGCTCTGAAACTCAATCCATAGACAAGACTGGCCTCAAACTCAGAAAATGTGACTACCTCTGCCTCCTGAGTGCAGAGGTTAAAGGTGTGCTAAATGTGGATATTATCATCTCAAATGATCCAGATTAAATATGGGTCTTAATTTCAAAATCTTAAGAAAAATCCCTAGCAGTGGGTTTTAATTTCAGAGGTAATCAATTTGACTACCAAGAATAGGTATCACAACATCCAAGGCAGAAAAATGAGAAGGAGTTTCTACCTTCAGGAGGCAAGGAGAGCATGGGAGTTGTTTTCAAAACAAGGCTTTTCCTAAACAGAGGAATCATGGGGATTTTACTTAGGGAACCCGCATGTTGTCAAGTGGAGCTCTGCCTGGAGCTAAGCTAGCTCAGATGACAAATCCACTTCTGAACGAGATCACAATTTAAAATCAAAGACATTTAGGGACATAGGAACACTTTTGCATCAAAATCTTTCAGGAACATTTAAATTATAAAAATGATGGAAAGATACCTGAAAATCGAGTAAAGGACACAAGTAAAAGTCAACTGCTTTGGCGCAGCATTGCAGTCTGTCAGTCTTGGTCCTTGCTCTGAATTCAAGATAACTGTACCAATGGCACAGTTCTCACAGATGCAAAAGATAGTGAAGACAATAAGAAAACCTCAAGAGAAAGGCACCCAAGAGCACTGTATATTCTGCTTTTAGATGAAAGGTAATGGTGATCTCTACTAACCTCAGAACCAATCTGCTTTCACCTCTGAGCGGGCAGGCTTGGCAGAAGGCCGTGGCTACTTCCATGCAGGATAAGAAGGAATTCATTTTAACTAACCCTAGCTGCCGTCTGTCTCAGGGCTGTGACATCACTATAAAGAATTTTATTCTTTTCTTATTCTACTTTTAAAAAAAATTTAGTTATATGGCATGTTGCCTGTATGTGCCTGTACACAGTACCTACAGAGGCCAGAACAAGGCAGGAGATCGTGGGACTGGAGTTACAGCAGATGGTGAGCTACCATGTGGATTCTAGGAGAGGAATGCGAGTCCTCTGTAACAACACAGTGTTCTGAACTGCTGAAGCATCTATCTTATGTCTCTTTTTTATTTAAAATTTATTTCCATATGTTGTTAATTAAGAGATATCACATCGCTTTTACTCTTTTTCTCTTCATGCCATTTCTTCTGAAACCCTTCCAATTTCTTCCTTGTTAAGTACCAGGGAATAAACATGCTGAAATTCATGAGTACAACCTGCTGCTTCCATTTTTGTAGGCTGAATAAATATGGATAATGGACACTGGATGACTTTTGGAAGCTAATCCCTGACTGAGGCTAATTCTCTCGAATGGAGGAGAATTCCACTTTTTAATTAGGCTCAGGTGTCTGATACTGACTAAGTTGCCTTGGACAAGAAACACAATTGAGAATAGAAAACATAGGGTGGAAAATACCTTAGCAGTTAAGAGCACGAAAACTTCTTTCAACGAATCCAGCTTCCATTCTCA